TCTCTCTTCTGTTAACACATTGCTTTCCCCACCTTCCTCTAGAACTGGACCTTTTCTGCTTCCTTGGCAATCTCTGTCAATCTCAGCTGTGGGTAACAACTGGCATTCCTCAAAAGGTATTCCTGCCCACTCAGGCTCAGAACATGCCGCCCTCTCTCCATACTGATCACCATCTTTCACACAGTGGGCAGATTCTGGTCTTTCCACTGACTTGACATGTGTGTGCATCCAATCATTAGCTAACTCACAGGTAGAACTGGTAGTGTGTAACGCACCTGCAGGAGTAAAGTGCTTTTCTGATCTAGTGTCTTCAGTGACCGGTGGCAATCTATCTTGAAGGATTATCTCATAACTCAACAGACTGTCTTTGGTTTCTCCAACAGCCTCGGTTTCACATTCTGGAAGGCTACATGTTTCAGTAGCTAAGCTACTTGCATGAGTTGCTTCTTGCTGTAAAGCATTTACACTCTGCAGTTTCACAGAACTGTAACTGTGCATTTCATCCAGAATCATTTTGTTGGTCTGTTGGCCTTCCCTTACAGCTGTGGCACACGAGTGAGTACCACATTCTGCTTCCACCTGGGAGATGGACTCTCGAATCTCAGCTCCGATACCTCCTCCTTCATTACCCCCACCATCATCATAGTTATCACTGTCATCGTCTTCCTGATCATTACTGTCACATACACAATCCTCGAAACTTTCTTCCCTTTGCACAGAATCTAAACGATCCGTATCAGCCTGGGACGCTTGCCCACTTTCATACTCTTCTTTTCTCCCTCTCCAGCTACCAGTGCCAGCCCATCCTGAGGAAGCACCAGTGCTCTCTTTCCTTCTGGTGGTTTCGTGACTGACCAAGGAGCCAGACCCCTCACCTCCCCAGTCCTCGGCGTCGTCCCTGTGGACAGCTTCCATGGACAGCACCCGCACCTCTTCTGAGCCAACTGAGCTTGAAAGTTCTCTGCCATCAACATGGGACTCGTCTCTCTCACCACCGCAGAGATGAGCCCTAGGACACCGCGCCTTACCCCTCCCACTTGAGCTGTCACCTTGTCCCCTGAGGGGATCCACAGAGCACTCGCTCTCTTCTGAGTCACAGAACGCATCTCCAGGAGGAGAGGTCTCACCGCTTTCCTCTTCCATGATGTCACAGTCCTCAGGCCGCAAACAATCACCGTCATGGCCTTCAAGAAGCAGAGAATCATGGTCATCATCATCACACAAGGGAGTGCCATAGAAACTGTCACTGTCTGTGTCCGTCCCCGTCTCACTCTGTGGCTCATCCAGCAGGGACGTTTCATAATCCCCTGCACTGATGGTTCCTGCATGCAACAGCATGTCGGAAACAGGAGATGTGTTGGCATTACCCAAATCGTACCACAGACTTAGGGTACAGGACTCTTCCGCTTCCAGGTCAGGTTGATTTTCTTTGGATTTCTTCTGAGAAATACTAGGAAGATGTCCGCTCTCACCACAAATGCCTGACATGTATTTGACATCACGATATTCTTGAGGACTGTTAAGATCCATGTTTAAAGGTCTATCATCAGAGCGATTTCCCTGGCTGAAGTTAATTGCTGCAATTCCCAGGAACTGGTCTTGAAAACATTCTCCCATTCTTTGATCTGCCAGCATGTGCTCGTCACTGAATGACAATGTAGAGGCTTCACATTTGTTTTCCTTGTTCTCTGGGGTGTGTCCACCATGGAAGTCTCTGTGCTTGTGCCTCAGTTTATCATGACTGAGCAAGGCACTCAGCCTTGGAGAGTAGTCAAAGAAAGACGACTCCTCGTCTGCAGCATCCTCATTCTCTCTCTCACTCAGCTCCCAGAGTCTACAAGTCTTTGATTTCACAACAGGGTCTGTTATCAAGTCACCTGCAACGTTAGAATGACCACAGAGATCTCCATGGTCCTTTGTTTCGAGCTGACTTTGGTTTCCACAGGTTTTGGGTCTGTTTTCAGAGTCATGTCTAAGTTTGCCAGTTTTTTCAAGTTCCATCAGTGGTAGGTAGGATACAGGATTGGGGACACACATACCAGCTGAATTATTAACTTTCTGACTGCTTGTTATTGTATTTTCCAGGTTTTCTGACTGATATATTTCACTACAACTAAAATTATTTCCCATTTCACCAAACTCTGCCTTCATAGCACACTTTCTGTTTTCACAAGTCTCTTGCTGTTCAAGGTCTTTGAAGTGACCTTTAGCAACACCAGTTAGTGAGGCTGAACACTCATCCTTTTCTTTACTTGGAAAATTAAGAAATTCATGAAGGAAAGTCATGGCTTCAAGCTTTCCTTTCACTAGTACATCCTTCTCCAACTCTGTGACGCAGCCTTGCAGCCCGGCATCAACAGCGGCATCCGGCTCTGTGACACAGCCCTGCAGCCTGGCATCGACCGCGGCATACGGCTCTGCGCTGCAGCCCTGCAGCAGCATACTTACAGCCTCATCCAAGTCTCCATCGTACAGCAGAAGCCGCTTCCCTGTGTTTGCATCCATGTAGCTATTAACCATCAAGTAAGACAGGAATAACCTTCTGGTTTGTTCTGAGCTCTGAGGTGCTGCTGGCTCTTCGCCATCCAAGGCATCTTCTTCTTGCCTGTAATCATGAACCGTAGATGGATGGAATTTACAAAATGAGAGCCATCTTCTAGCATTTTTACAAGCTTCTAAATCTCCTAAGTCTGGCATTTTATCTGGTAGTATTATGTTCTTTAAGATTGATGCTGTGTTATCACCTATAATTCCTAGCTGCCTAGCAACATCCAAATCAATGACTTGAGAGCTTTCTGGGATATAAAGGGCAGCTATTTTCTGCCTGCCATTCAGGATTTTGTAAGCCAACTCATTTGTAATCAGGTTTTGATGCAAAGATGATGATGTTGGGAATATTTCACCTGAGTGGGGCCAAATGAGCCCAACATAGCCCCGCTGAGACTCGAGGACCAAGAGAGCACTGCTGGAAGTGATGAGGTCACATTGGACGGCTTCGTCCACCGTCAGGCGCTCTGCAGGGTTTGCACGGATGATTCCACCTGTCTGAATCTGATACATGAGAATGCCGTGGGCAGTGTCTCTGTCAATCACCCCAGCTGCCATGGCTTCTTCTACGGTCATTTTTTTACCAGAGTTGCAATCAATCAGACCACCAGAGAGAAGCTGTGCACCCAGTAACCTGAACATGGTCTCTCTGTCTATGAGGCCTTCATGGGCTGCTCTCAAAATGCTCAGGCTTCTCCCACATTTTAATGTTATTCTCCCTCCTTCTTGTGATCTCACGGGAAGAAGCCACATCCTAGTGTCTTTCTGTAAAATACTTCTTTGCACCATATCCATTAAAGATACCTTCTCAGAGGTACAAGGATCAATAAGATCTCTGTGCATATGTTGCCTTTCCAGCACTTTTGCAAACAGTGTTGAGGAGATCAAGTTCTGCTGCAAAGCCTTCTGTAGAGTCCACCGTTCCCCCGTGGCTGGAGCAACCAGAACACCCGAGGCAAGCAGGATCTCCAGAACTTTAATGGCCACGGCTTCTGACACGAGACCTTGAGCCAGGGCGTCTAGTACAGGGATCGTGGTGGATGGCACTGCAGAAATAACCTGCTTGGCTTTGTTTACTTCTTCAAGTTGGCACAGGAACTGCTCATCAATAAGGCCATGACTTTTGGCATCGTGGAGGTCAAAGCACTTTCCTAATTCTGGTGAAATTAAGCCAGAAACCATTAGCTGTGTCTCAAGCAACCTGACCCCCGTGTCAAAATCAATTAACCCCTTCAGAACAGCCTGGAACACTGAGAGGACTTCTCCAGTTGTCCGGTCAATGGTGCCCGCAATCACTCTCCCCAGCTGGAAGGAAAACACAAAGGTCTTAGGTCAAGTCTGTTCCCCAAGAGTGGGAAAATTTCATGCAACTTTTCTTGTTTCATCATGAAAGTCCTCTACTTACCAAGGCGCAGCAATGCTGAGAATGTTAGGAGCTCAAATGCACAGTGATCTATGTCAGTGATCTACTCAACAGAAGTGGTAAAGCTTTGAAATAACATGCATCTGTGAAGTGAAAACTTAATACGTGTACATTAACCAGGTTAGTGAGGACGTGGCAGAGCAGATGACGATGGAGGAAACAACACACACCTAGAAGGCAAATCATGCTTGCTGCATTAGAGAGAGGTCAGAGTTGACGTGAAGGAAAGCCAGCCCATCAACCCTAGGCTACCATGTTTACAGCATACAGACTTGAGCAAGGGCAGTCCCAAACTAAGGAGCTAGGAAGTTGTTTTGTACCCACAAACTGTGTGGAAATACTTCTGAGAGGAATGGAATTAAATATGATATAAAGACTTTTTTGAAATTTGCATTTTGTGTTGGGCATGTTAATGTGCATCACCAAATTTAAAGAAGAATTGAGAAGCCATATTTTAAGCAATTTTCGTTATATTCTAGAAGGCACTAGAACATCTTCCCTGTAAGACCTCACATCCCTCAAATATGAAGGGAACTATGTCATTACTTTCATGAGTATCCCCACAGGTCAAATAAACTCCACAGCACATCAATAATGCTGCCATCTTTACAAATGATGCTAAAGACAGGGTCTTGGTATGTAGCCCAGACTGGCCTCTAACTTACAATTCTCCTTCTTCGGCCTCCCCTGTGCCAGACAGAAGCACGCACCACCATGCCCAGCCCACAGGATCTTTTATAACATGTTTTATAATAATATACCCACTATCGTAGAAGTAGAAAATGGCTTTTTGAGAGAAGTGTTAGAAAAATGAATGATTCCTTCCTTTCACCATGCAAGGCAGAGATTAAGATGTCACAGAAACTGAGGTAAGTGAAACTGCATTTCATAAACAATACTAAACTCGTCCAATAAACTCCATCCATACTTCAGCTACGTGTAAAATTCAAGGTGACTTCGTCACTGACACGGAGTCTTCATCATGCAGTCAAGGCCCCTGACACAGCTTTGTCTTAACCACTGCTATTACCTTCTCATCCATCATCGCATCTCCCAAAGGTTGGGATCCTTGCAGCTGTTTCAGAGACTCGCTACATAATAAATTATAACCTTCTTGAAGAGTTTTCACTTGTTTTTCCAGTTCGATTCTTTCTTCTTCCGTCATCCTAAAATAACATTAAAGGATGAGAAAAATAGCCCTGGTTCTCAAGGAAAAACACCAGAATCTCAGGTTCAATGATGGCCAGTGTTCTTAAATTTTCCATGAATGACTTGCTCAGGCCCTAGTAGTACTGTCTATGAAAATGAAGCTTCCACAAAAACATCTAGGAGTCTTTACTTGCCTGAGAAAGAGACTGAAGAAAGGGATGTAAAGCAATTTGTCAGCACCTCTAGGAATTTCTAGATCATAACTGCTGTTATGTGTTAGGAAGGACCCCAATGCCAGTCCCAACACAAAGAGGGACATCAAATAACTATCTCAAAATGGAACTTTTTAACTAAAGACTGAGGAAATTTACAAGGAAATTAACATAATTCTCTAAGTACAATATGAAATCTTTCTGGAATAATCTTAGAATATCTGAAAGTGGCTGAGACAAAAGAAGATCCTTTTCCTGAGTTTGATGAAATAGATACAGCATCTTGCTGCAAAATAGATAACAAAATATGAGACACTATAGTGAAGAAAGTGGAGGCCACATTATTCACACCTATTTTTCAACAGGTCTCCTTGGAATATCACTTAGAATTAAGACTTGATTTGGAATCTTATTTCTTCCATTCCCTAGCTATTCATCTTTCACTTCTCTAGGCCCATTCTCTTATCTGTACTAGAGGAGGATAACAGATACATTTCAGAGAAGTGAAGACTACAAGAGAAAATTAAACTGCTAAGTTTATTTTCTATATTAGGGAAAGTAATTTGTGATTCATTTGTTTCATTTTTAAAATCTCAAAATTTGCCACTTTTTGCACTGCTGAGTATTTCTTAAAATGTTATTATCAGTAGTTGCACAAAGAAGTTACAATTCCCTAAGTTGGGTTACTAGTGCAGTGCTTCATGATCAATGTCACCCTTCCATCATTCTTCCCAAGAGCTCCCCTCAAGTGTGGATTTCAATCTGCACACTGCTAAATATTTCCAAGAGGACACCCTTACTCTGAATGAAAGAGCTAATTAAAACCAACATACTTGTCGCCATGTTTAGCCAGAAAGAGTTGCATGGTCTGAAGTGTTTCAGATAATTGTTCCTTCTTGGTTGATATTTCCTCACTGGAAATCTGCAAGGAAAGAAGGCACATTCAAACTCTCCCCCTATACAATACAATACTATACAACAGTACTTTTAAAAATAAGTTTCTATGAATTGGTCTGCTTTTTTGATGACCCAAATCAATAACCTATCATTATTGGCAATGTAAAGGCCCTAGATAAGGGCTCTATTTAGATGCACAGAAAGGAAAGTGCCTCTCTTTGTATTTAATGCCATCATCTTTATGAGGGAATAGTAATGCAACATCATATAGCTCTTGAATTTGTTCCAGTTCAACTATGGATAACAAGGTGGCCTGGACCCTGGGGTAGAGTTGAGCACTGATCCAGTGGTACTCTTCTACATCCGGGTGCTCAGAAAGGACAGGCACCAGGAAGATGACCTCTAAAGAAATCTTCCTTCCCCCAAGCTCCTGAACAAACCACTCTCCTTTCCCCAAACTGATGTTGACAGCATTCGTTTATAAGCCAAGTGATTAGGAGTGATTGCCAACATCAAGACTCTCCCATACTCTCAGAGAAAAGCAAAGTCGTCCTGATGCCTCTGTGTATCACTTCTCCATGCCTTAGTCCAGAACTCTCGTTCTTCTAAATGAACAGAGACACAGCAGGCCAGTGGAGACCAAGGACCAACGAACGCTACGCTGTTACTCCACTCAGGGAAATACTTTATATGCCCACAGGCACCCATGAGGGCAGTGGAAGACACATACTAGGACACCGAACTTTGTAAACTTCCTTTCCCAAAGAGACTGCGTGTTCTGAGAGATGTGTGAAGGCCGTAATCTGCGTTCAAAAGGTGCTACCTTCTTTTTTTTTTTTTTTTTTGGGTCCGGTTGTGGGGCCTGAACTCTGGGCCTGGGTGCTGTCCCTCAGCTCTTCAGCTCAAGGCTAGCTCTCTACCACTTGA